CAGGGGACCACATTTGGCTCGCCACCTGGTTTTGGATGTGTGCTTATCCTGGAGCCTACGACAGACATTTCTGGACCTGTCACCTAGGGCAGCTTTCCTGTCGAGTTGAGACAGCCCATCTGGCGCACGAAGAGAGCTACCCTGTGGCCCTTTCCTTAAATCCCAGCTCCTGGTCTAGGGTGTTTCTCCTCTGCCTTCTGTGTCTCCTTGTTGCGGTGGCGGCAGAGGCTGGGTAGGAAGGCGCTGTGTCTGAGGACTGTTCTCGCTGTTGTTTGGGGAGCGGCCAGTCACCACCTTGGACGACCCCCACCCACCCCGTTGTCCTTCATTTCACAGTCCTGACGTTGCTGGGCCCCTGTGGGGTGGGGTGGGGTGGCTGCTATCTGGGACACAGCATAGAGGCCATGGGCCCCTCCCCTCGCTGTTCTGAGAAAAGCACATGGCCTCTTAGTCTGAGAACTGCTCTGCTGGCAGGGAAAAAGCAGGGCGTGCAATAACCGGGGGACCTTGCGCCAGTCCCCCGTGCCCAGGGACAGGGGAACATTTCCCTCTTTACAGAGGAAGCTGGGCCCCACCATCCCCTCTGTGCCCAGACGATCTAAACTCCTGCCGGCTCGGGGCTCGGTTCAGGCTTGGTTCCAGGGGCTGTCATGAGAGGGACCTTCTTCGCTCTGTGTAGGGTTGGGAGTTCAGGGCTCCTCTAGCCTGCGGCGTGTCGGGGGGCTAGGGCAAATCTAGGGCTTGTGCTCTCTGACCTCGTTTCTGAACTTCCATTCAGTTGAATTGTTGGCAAATCAGGTGGCTATGACGAAGCTGCTACTCTGCGCTCATGAAGCTTGGCACCAGGAGGGGGTTTCCTGTTCTGAGGGGGGTGCCAGGACTGTGTGGTCTCCACACAGCATGGTTTGTGATGGCGCAACTCTGGGACTCCAACCGATGCCCTTCCTCTTCTGCAGCTACTTGTTTTACGGATGGTCAGTCTGAGGCCCAAGAGAGCTGGGCGTCCCCAGGGTCACTGGGTCCCGTTAGAAGCAGAGCTGAGGCTGTTCCGTCTCCTACCCCACTGCTGCGATCGATCGATTGATAGATAGATAAATTAGATAGATAGACACTGTTCAGGTGACCCTGATTTATGGTGACCTCATGTGTCAGAGTAGAACTGTGTTAGGCCGGGCTGACTATAGAAACAAATCCAACGACACCCATAAATTGGTAAGAGAGGGCTTTATATCAAGGAGTAATGGTGTATCAGGAAAACATCACAGCCCAGTCCAACTCAAGTTTGTAAATCTGATACTACTCCAAAAGTATCTAGCCCATAAATCCCTCTTCAGACTCCATGCAATGATCCAGGAAGATCACAGGCCGGTGGGTACAGGGTCTTGTGGATCTAATGGAGGTGGATCATCTCCAGGGCTTGCACAGGCCTCAGCGTGGCAGCTAGACTCCACCCCTGCACTTCAAGTGGACATGAAGTTATGTAGCTCCCACAAGAACTATGTTCCATAGGGTTTTCAGTGGATGATTTGGGGCAAGTAGATCACCTGGCCTTTCTTCCAAGGCCCCTCTGAGCAGACTCGAACCGTCAGCATTTTGGCTAGCCACTGAGGGTGTGAATCCCAGGGACTCCCAGTCCTCTTGACTCCCTTTAAAAGCCTCTGAAAGACCTGTTTTCTTTGGCCAGTCAGTATTATCTCCAGAGTAAAACAGATGCCCCAGAAAGGAGAAGCTTGACTTAGGACAAAGCCTGAGGCCGAGAGTTCTTGGGTGGTGGGGTACAGAGAAGGACCTGGGGTGGAGAGAAGGGGTGCAGAGAGCATGAGCGTCTGTTGGTCTACCTGTGTCTCCCCCACAGGGCTCTGCCCCCAGCCCTGTGGGGGAGACATGGACCAGCCTCCATGTCCCGGGGCGTGTCACTGCCTGTATTGCTCCTCCCACCTTTGCTCCACCCTCCTGTGATCCAGGAAGCGCCATCCCACTTTGTAGAGGACAGCCAGGGTTCCGAGGGGCTCCCAGACCTGCAAGTACAAGGTCTTCTTGCTAGGACTTGATCAGTGGAGATTGGAACCAGGCATTGCCATATCCCAGACTGTCACAATTGAGTGGCCCGTGCCTGGACAGTCTTCCCCACGCTGGCATAGCTGAGGCCAGCCTGGAGAAGGGCCTCCGAACATCGGCTGGACCTGTCCAGGAGCCAGTGGGCAAGCCTGAAATTGGGCCTTTGCTGGTGGGGGCGCGCCTTGAGATTGCTTGCAGAAACGCCCCAGGCCTGGAGGGCATCTCTAGTGCCTTTGCCCAGAGGTCACTGCGATCTTACTAGGGGCCCCGGCCGCTTGGGGTGGGATCTTTTCCTCCAGTTCAGGGAGACCTTGATCACGCTTGGGCTCGCTCAGGTGTGAGCACATGGACTGTGTGGTTATTACAGGGTAGGGCAGGGCAGGGCCGGGCCAGGCCAACCCAGAGTGCCCCCGGAGGACTTGGCTTAAGGCGGAGATGTGGCAGGCACACACCCCGCCCCACCCCCAGAGAGGCCCTGTGCACCCGCCCTGACCTCGCCATCGGGTTTAGAGCTGTGTGCCCCTCCCCTCTGCTTTGCCCTGTGGCAGGGGCCTCAGTCTGCTCCTTCCCCTTTCAGGCCTGGTGACTGGGCCTGACGGGCGTGGGGCGAGATAAAACGTGGTCAGGAGGTTGAGCCGCAGTCTGCCCCACCCAGCCGTAAATGGGGCGTGGTAGTGCCTGTATCCCCTCCGCTCCTTTAAGGGTGTGGTTAGGATGTGGTGATCGGGAAGTGTGCTTCCTTGATGGTACCAGGGGACGGAAGCAAGCCTCTCCCTGGGCGTGGCAGCAGGGAAAGCTGATTCAGGAGGGTTCCTGGAGGCTGAACTCCAAGTCTGAACAGGCACCGTGGCTGGTGGCCAGGGCATGGGCCATTGCCACCGGCTGCCTCAGAGAATTCCATGGAAAGGGCCTATGATGACAGGTTCTCCAAAAATGCGTTGACATCTTGGCTTCCTTGCTGGTAACGAGCAGAGGTCGGCGGTGGTTCCACGTGGGAGAAGACCGGGTTTGACTCCAGGCAGTGCGGCTCCGGCTCACTTACCACGAGCCTGTCAGAAAGCGTCCATGGTGCTCCACAGGTCACAGGGGCATTTCCAAACGGAAACAGACTCGGGAGAAAGGCCGGGTCACCTCTGCCAGAAATAAGCCAGCGAAAAGCCCGGGGATTGCAGTGGGCTGGTTGCCCATCCAGCAGGGGGATGTTGGAGGTCTGGGTGGCTTGGGACTCATATATGTGTAATGCATAGCTTTATACCAAGAAGTAAGTAGATATGTGTGAGTATCTCAAGTAATTAGATATCAAGAAAGCATCCCAGCCCAGTCCAACTCAAGTCCTTACGTCCCTCTTCAGACTCCTGCAGCCACCTGCAGTGATCACAGGCCAGTGGGTACAAAGTTTTGTGGTCCAGGGGAGGTGGCTGTGGCCGCAGTCAAGGTCAGCCGGCAGGAAGGTGAAGCCAGAGAGAGAAGGGGAAGGTTCCCAGGGCCCTCCTTGTGAAAAAGGCCACACCCACAAGACGGTATCACCAGGCTGTGACCCGATGGACAGGCTAGACTCCATCTCAACGCTTTCATATATCCTGTCGACATGAAATTATGTTCCAGCGTGCACTGGGGTTACCACGCGCCGGCCGACAACGCGACAGCAGCTACCAGCTAGATACCTATAAAGAGGACCCTTCTTGGAAGTCAGGTTGTCTTTGTTATGTTTAGGTCATTCCCAAGTGGGATGAGTCCTAAACCTGATCACTTCTGAGTTGTGAGAGAACCGGAATGGATGTAGAGATAGGGCCGCACGCGTGCGCGCTCACACCCACCCACACAATGAGGAAGAGAAAATGTGTGTGGATTGTCTCTAAGCCCAGAAACACCAAGGAACCCCTGGGGCTGTAGACAAGGCAGTCATCAGCGTGGCCAACCCTGATTTGGACTTTCAGCCTCCAGACTGGAAGAAATTAAGTGTGTGTTCTTTAAAGCCCCGTACTTGTGGTGTATGTGTGTGTGTGTGTTAGTAGCGCACATTAATGAACCATGTGAGGCTGCCTGCCTGACTGCCCCATCCTGTGGGCACCCAGGCCAGCCAGTGCCCCCTCTGCTCCGCTTCTGTTTCTTCATGTCGTAACGGATGTTTCCCAAGGCCCCCTCCAGGCGCGTGTTTGTGGGACCAATGGTACAACATGTGATTACTCCCCCCTCCCCCAAGTTCCTGTCTTTGGTGTGAGTTATATTTAGTTCTTCCTTTAAGACAGAGTGGGGACAAACATGAGCCCTTATCCTTAGTGCTCAGCCCCTGTGAGAGGAGGGCCGGCGCTGCTGCAGTGGGGAGGCAGCTGACTAATATGTGACCCCAGGCAGCGTGGAGGGGATGGTGACGTGAACCGCAGGGCATGCGTGGGCAGAGTGTCTCCCAAAAAACCAACTGCCTGCCATCGAGTCGATGCCGGCTCATAGCGGCCGATAGCACGTGGAAGAACTGCCCCCATGAGTGTCCCCCAGCTCTCGTTGGAGACGGGGCTACTGGTGGGATGAGATCAATCGGACCAGACTGAAGTGGACTGCCGAAAGTCAGAAAGAAAGCGGTGGCAGACGCGTTGTGTCTTTTGAAGGCCGAAACCACAAGGGTCTTGGTGTGTTACATGTGTGGTTGGCGGGAAGGGGTGTCCAGGATGGGGTGTAGGTTTCTGTCTTGCACTCAGGGGGGGCTGGGATGAGCTGTGGGGAAGCCAGGTTGGGAGAACAAGGTGCTATTGGGGGTGTGTGAAGTGTGAGAAGTCCTTTGCTATCAGGTGGACATGCCCAGTATTTGTTGCTGCCCCACCCTGCTGGATATGAGCCAGGACACCCCCCCACCCCCCACCCCCCAGTGTGGACTCTTGAGAGGCACGAGTGAGCCTGGGGTCTGACCGGGTTTTTTCTCTCTCTTTCTCCTCACCCCTGCCCAGCTGGCCGGAGTTGTCTTCCTCGGCGTCGGACTGTGGGCATGGAGCGAAAAGGTAGGTGCCACTATGGCTAGGACCCTCTCAGGTTCGGCCAGTTTTAACTGCCCCACCCCAACCCCTTCACTGCTGCTCCCCGCAAGTACTTTTTCTGCATCCTAACCTTGGAATTGTTCTCTACGGAGCTAGTTTCCGGAGTGGTTGTGGGACTTCTGGGGACCATACGGGCTCCTGAGCCCTGCTCTGCTCCCTAGCGTAGGGGCAGTTATTCGAGGCTGGTGACTGGGGCTTTCAGCTCTGTCAAGGGGGAGAGCCTTCTCTCTCTTCCCACAGCCCCCATGTACCTTGAACACAACTCTGTTGGTTTCTGAAGCGCCTTTGTCCACATAACCCATGCAAACAGAGAGGGACTTCCATCCCCGCCCCCACCCCGTGGTTAGAAAGGCCTGCAGAGGCAGGTCTGTAAGCACTTGAAGCTGGTGCGCCTCCCCCTGCATAGCCCTCAGGAGTGCGGGCCAGCTCTGATGGACCAGAGGGTGTGATGTGGGCCAGGGGAGCACAGGAGTGAGTGGATATTGGGAGGTGGCTCAGTAATGCGACCTACCTGTATTCTCAGAAGACGGGGCCAGACCGGGCATTAAGGTCTGCAGGGTTTCCTCCCTTGCCCCCGGGGAGATAGAAAGGGCTGCCTTCGGGTTGTGGTACTTTCTGTTTGGCCTGTAAACCACCAGAGGACAAGGGCCAGGCTGGCCATCTGTTGCTCTGCTCCAGTGACCTACAAGCAATTGTAATTTGTGCCTTACAGTGCCACCGTGTGGCTATCTCTGGGATTGCAGTAACCCTACAGGGTGGAGCCTGCCTAAGTAAGGGCAGCTTTAACCCACTCTGTCCATCCTGCCAGCTCCTAGCCACAAGGGCCCCTTTGTATTTCAGCTTCACCGAAACTGTTTAGGATTGCATTTTCCAGGCCTCGAGTGTGCTTGGTGGCCCCTGTGTGTGTGTGTGTGTGTGT